TGGCCGTGGCAGGCTTCTTGCTAACTGTTCTTATATCTTAAATTAACCCATTTTTATAAATCTATACCTTGCCACGTGGCTGGTGGCTTACCGGCGTCTTTACATGCTGCTTCTCACGGTGGCTGCAGTGTCTCCCTCTCCTTCTTCCTGTTTCCCCAATTCTCCTCTCTCCTTGTCCCGCCTATACTTCCTGTCTGGTCACTGGCCATCAGTGTTTTATTTATATAGAGCGATGTCCACAGCAGTCTTTAGCTAGAAAAAAATTCTTTACCATTTATTTTAGTATAGTCATGAATTCTTTTAGGACTTTTCATTAAAAATAGTATTTTTCCTCACTTATTAAATAATATTTTATTGAAGATATGAAGAATTCTAAGCTGTTATTTATTTGATCATTAAATATTTTTTACTTTAAGTGTATTACATGTAATACGTGTATTCATGAGCTCATGGGAACCACATTGTGTGCAGTTGGGGAAAGGCTTTTCTTGTCTGTGCCAAGTAGCCTCGTACTCTGTATTTACTCAGTTTCCAAGTCTCGAAGATGCTCAGACATTAATACTGTGTTACCCATGCAATGAAACCTTCTTATAGAGGAGAGACAGGGTCTCTGAAAGCCAACCACTATCTATTCCAAACAAGTATCAGGTAACTCAGGAATTGGCATATAGAGAAATATAAAAGTAAAACATTAGCAAGGTTTGATACAACATGAAGAGATTTCATCACCTGTATCAACTGTTTAGTCAAAAGAGCAATGTGGGTACAGAAGTTTAGACAGAGACCTGCCCCATTAAGCCCTCCATGATCCGTAGGTACTCTCCACAATTTTCTTTCTCATCCTGTGGCACTGCCATGGGCCTCCTGAGCATCTTGAGCAACTACTCACCCACAAATCCTAGGCAGGGCCGGCTCCCACTGCTCTGACTTACCCAAGTCACGGAGGAGCAGGGTTGTGTTCAGGCCTGCTTCATCTGCCGCTCAGGCTGGTTCCCTGGGTCAGCAGGCTCCAGGCTGAAACTGAGGCTGCAGCTGTTGCTATTGCCTCTCCCTCCAGCCAGCCCTGGGTATTGTTACAGGTTCAGGATAGGCAAACGATCTTCACCCCCAGCATACTGTTTACGGGGAGAACGGTACACAGTTTCATCTGGAGGCTTAATTGTCTGCCTCCTGGAACAAGTTTATTTTTTTCCCCACCAGTTTAGAATTTATTCATCTACAACATGGCACATTTAATGAGGCCATGAGTGAAACCATGAAATATATATATATAAAATCTCCTAACAGAGAAATGTCCAAGTTTTAATTTTATTAGTAGTTATTTTTCAATATTATTGGGAACTTTAAAATTGATTGATTTGGGGTGATGATATTTTTACAAGATAAATTCTGTCTGCATGACTGTCCATCAGTCATGATCGTTTTCTTCCAGTATAAAGGACTGCTACTCTGAGATAAAGAAGGAAGGAGCTGCATGTGGACCCTAAAACATTTCCAGAGCCTTCCCCGACAACAAAGTTCACATTCATCTGGTACAAGCTTAGTCTTTTGCATCTTAATTGTTTTATCCTCTATGCTTTCTATGAACTTTTTCAGACTTTAAAGCCTTCTAGAAGTTCATCAGCATGGAATTTAGCTCCTGTCATTTTCCTTAGGAACTCTGGCTGGACACAAATCTCACGGCATTTGATTTAGAGTAGCCAAGGTCCGCGAGGGCCGCTTTGTCTGCTTTGCCCTCCTTTAGTCTCCTCCAGGTTTTGTTGTTTTGTTTTTCAACTTGCGTACTTGAGTTGCATGCAGACCCCATTTGTGTGCCGACATAAGTCAGGTCACCAGAGCCTTCACAGGATCATATAATCTCTATAAGATTGTATAATCAATAAGATCATCTTCACCATAGGGCTCAGGAAAGCCACATGAGGTCCCTCCTAAATCAACCTTTTAAAACATTAGTTATCAAACACATCTCTGTCTGGAATGAGTCATTGAAAAATACCTCTCTCACACTCAATAATGCCTGTCTCTATTATCTTCCAGTTCCTGGTGTTCCTGGGAACTTGAGCCAGCACTAACCAAATGTCCCTAATGGCAAATGAGTCAGCCCAACAGGAACTGGTTTTCCTCAGCTTGCCTCTGATTGTGCAGCTTTTTTCTCCAAGAGGGATAGTCACATTACTCAGCTTCTCCACAGCCACGGTCCTCAGGCTGAACCCACCCACTCCCATGTCCTGTCGCCTTTGAGCAAACTATGACAGGCTCTGTCATTACTCCTTTAAAAGAATTTCCCAATCCAGGCAGTTCAGGTGCCGAGCAGTACACAGTTATCATCCTTCTTCCCACTGGGCCGTTATTAAGACTCCTGTCTATATGTTGAGTGATGAGTTTTCCCTTCTCTGTTAAAGGTCAAATCGGAGGGAGGTCTTCTATCATGTTGACGATGTTCTCTTCCTCACCGTCCATTGTTAAGTCATGTTAAATCATGGATTTTCCTTTCGTCTTTATTAAAGGTCAGACCCAAGGGATGTGCCTTGTTACTTCTACCGTGTCCTTCCTCACTGTGCATTGTTAAGGCCCTCATCTGCATCTTGGGTCATAGGTTTTCCCTTCATTTCTATTAAGGGTCAGACCTGAGAGGTATCTTCTATCACTTCTGCTTTGTTCTTGTCCTCACCGCTGTTGGATTCTTCCCACAAGCTCTAAGTTCCTGGACCTCAGGAATGACTTTTTAGTACAGCTCTGACTTATGCTCTCTTTCCCTTCCATCTCCTCATCATGACTTACGGCTCTTGGTTTCCAGCTGCTTGGTAGGAATGCCATAGGAATTACTCACCAAACGGAGGCTAATGTGGAGGGTGATAGCTGCATGCCCCTTCCCTTTGTAATTCCTCCTCTAAACAAGCACTGTCTATTAAGCAGCCATGTCTGCCTTATTTGCACATGTTATTACATGTAGCAGTGGACATGCCGAGGTCAGCACAGCTTGCTGACAGTCTTGTGTCATGGGTGCTACTCTTGGGGGACTGTCATGCTATCTCTAGTCCTTGAACTGTTGCCAGAGTACTCATGCAGTACTCATACAGTGGATCCCACTCATCAAGGAGACACACCTCTCCTATACCTCATAAAAGAAGATGACTGATTTGGACCCCCCCCCCCATCCCTCCACAAGGGTGTTCCATTCTGAGACAGCTCAGCCTTGGCTGTGTGTTCTTTCACACATCTCAGGGAGCATGCAACCACCACTACAACAAGGATGCACACCATCCCTTATGACATGGAGAAAAGTACCTGTATTTGGGTTGTCCCCATGGACTCTGCCTTCAAACTGACTAGCACAGAGGCATGTCTCATCACACATTGCAGGGACCCTACAGTCACTCTGCCCCAACACCTCGTTGCTTCTGTATGTTCCTGTTCAGATACCAATTGTGTTCTGTGATCTTTCCTGGGGAGACATGAACAGAACCTATTTACTCAGATAAATTACTGATGACAAACCAAATAAACAGTTCTACCCAAGCCTAATTTAGTGACTTTACTGGGGTGACTTGCAGGGCCACGAATGACTCAAAGAAAGCTGCGTTACCAGAAGACACACTCCATCATTAATGAGAAGAGAACTCACAAAGCTACATCCTTGCAACCTGTATACACCTCCCTCATAAATTTCAGCTCGTAAGATTTTTAAATTCCTAAGGCCTCTTCTCCCTAAGGAGTGAATGTTTCTGTTCAGAGGTGATTGCTACATAATAGAAGTTAACAGAGGCATTCCCATCCTTACCTAAGACACTCTCAGCAAAGCTAGAGAAAATAGGGTGCAGCCCAGAGCCTGAAGTCATAACCACCATGATCTCTTAGCCACCAAGTAAAATCAATGAAATTTAGTTTTGTAGTAATCATGCTTTTTTAAACAGGCAAAATAGAATATGTTTTTATCTGAAGATAGAAGAGGTATATTTTGATTTTATGTGAGTTTTAAATGAAATAAAATCCCAACCAATTTAATGCTAATTAGAAGAAAATGCATCTGAACGAAATAAAGTCCTACATTAAAATAGGATTTGAGCTCTGTCTGTGTTGTGGGTTGAAATAAAGGTTACTGAGACAAAAAATAATAATGTTGCAAAAAATAGTTATAAATTTTTCTCTTTAGACTCCAAAATAATTAAAATAATGCTTACCACAGTTAGCAAGATAGATGGAATTTCATAAGCTTTTTTGGGGAAAGGCCCATTGACATGTGTTTATAAATCGATGATGATTTTATTTCTTAACAAAACATTGAAGCCTCTAAGGGACCTAGCACAGGTGTTTAAAATCCTGGGACTGTGTGCAGATAAAATTGAAAGGCAGCCCTGCTTTGTGGAACCTGCATCTGAACTCATAAAATTGTGTGGGTAAGTTGTTTAACTTTACTTTGTACTGCTACATATGACATCATGCTTTATTTTGTATTACAAAGGTATTAGATATATAGTGTATTGATAATACAGAGTTTAGCTGGGCAGTTGTGGTGGCACACACCTTTAATCCCAGCACTTAGAGGCAGAGGCAGGTGGATCTCTGTGAGTTCGAGGCCAGCCTGGTTTACAAAGCAAGTTCCAGGACAATCAGGGCTATACAGAAAAATCCTTTCTGGAAAAAAAGTGTGTGTGTGTGTGTGTGTGTGTGTGTGTGTGTGTGTGTGTGTGTGTGTAATATAGAGCTAAAAAGCAAAACAAACAACTTGGTGATAGTTGGACAGTTATTATTTCAAATGTTGCAACCTCAGATTGCTACAGAAGAGATTAAATTAAAGTATAAAATACTTTCTTGTAAGTAGTTACTATCACGTGATTGGTGAGCAGCAGATAAAACCAAAAAACTGTAGTTTTTTGAGAGGATCTTTAAATAAACTGAGTGTTACTTAGTTTCAGTTTGGTTTTCTCTTTTCTCTTTCTTAGGAAAAGTTCAGTCTCACAAATATATTAAGTTCTATGTAGAGTTTCATTTGATTTTGCAATTTTGAATGAGGGAGAAAATTCTGTGTATACACACACACACACACACACACACACACACACACACACTACAGGTTATATAAACTAGAGGTAAAAGTTATAAAATTAATATGCCTTGTCCTCTGTTGTAGTGTCTACACCAGCTCTGGAAACTACGCACACACACACACACATATATATATAATGCTTCTTTGCTGCCACATAGTGGCTGTTCTAGATATATGTTTAAATAGCTACTTTCAGGTCACTGCAGTGTTAGTAGAAGAAACTTATTAGTTGGAAAAAATAATTTTGTTTGGAAAGAAATGATTTTGTCTTCTAAACCTATCTACCAATTTAATGTTGTAAATAGCAAACTGACACTATTAGTATATATATATGGAATTCCAAGTCTTAGATTTAGCAGCAGTAAAATTAAAATTTTTGTTGCAATTTTGATACCATACTAAAATAATGAAGAATAATTTACCAAATGCATATGCTTGGCCTTTTTAATAGAGACTGTATAAATAAGGAAATAAATGATTTTTCTAGTGCTTCCAAGGAACTAACAATTCATTTACATGTTGACATTTGACTGGATCACAGACAGCCCTTGGTGTGTCGTGCTGTGTGGGTCCTGAAAGCCTGGGTTCACAGTTTTACCTCAGTGTCGTTGCTGCATAGAGCTGGTTCTCAGGCTGCGGAGTGTCTCTACAAATCTTTTCAACTGTGTTCCTCCCTTTCCCTCCTTTTGAAGTTATTACATTATTGATTTTCTTACCTTTCAAATGTCCACCTGTATTCAGCATTTCACTACACCCAGTCCTCACCTGATTATGAAAATTTTGGAGATTAAAAAATTGAAAATACATCAAGCTTTTCTTCTTTGGTCTCCAGTAAGCTTTTATTTTCTACACAGCCTTTTCGGTTGGACCCCCCACACCCCAATACTTTATCCTATAGTAATCTTCTTTGGTAGAAAAGTGAAAAATGGGGCAAGATATTTAGAGTTTTAGTTTTAAAAATCTTTAGATGCCCATCATTCAACTAGATAATAGATCATTTTATTTGTTCCAAATTTAATTCTAATGGAATAGGAATGAGTCCTCCTAGAAATTATAAAATTTTTTCTTTGTAACTTGCCTTGATATACTTTTAAATTCAGATTAACCCCTGTAGTCTGTGGCCACATATGACAATTCTCAATGCCACTTTCCAACTATTTGGTAAATGTTTTTGAAAGATGTGAGTTGGAAGTCATTTGTGTAAATATGTCATATGTCAACAGCACAGGAGATTCAAATAGCTTATATTTTGTTTTAAGAAGTTTAGGATAATGAACAATTCATAAACTTGATCTGTGATTTATAAATAAGTATTTTCAGATAACTTGATTATAGTAGCTATGAATTGCAATTCTAATATAACTGATGTTTTTAACGTTGAAGCCTTATTGTTTCCCAAAGCATTCTGTTCTTTTGTGAATAGTTCCTAATCCTGTTAATAAGGAGGGGGCACTGACCGTAGGAAAGAAATAGACCATTAATCTGGTACCTCCCGCCTTAGAAACTTCAGGAAACGCCATTAGACATTTTTAAGTTTTAGTTGAATCTTCCTAACAGCGATTACAAGTATAATTCACTATGACTTTGCCCTCAGAAAGATAATTCGTGTTTTAGCCACAGTGATGGAGGATTACTTTCTCAGCTCTGCCTCTCTTCATTCTTATGACAGTGTTTTGTTTTTGTTTTTCTCTCTGGTTGGTTGGTTAGAAGTACAGTTTTCATCTGATTGTTAACGGTGCTCCACACTAAAGAATGAGAGAGGCTGGGAGAGAGAATCACTTTATTCTTTAGAAAATAAATATTTCCCCTTTATAAGTGAAGCATCAATCAGGGACTCCGTTAAAAGTTACTCTGACTCTTTGTTCTCATTGAAGCTTGCCATTTTTGAAAAAGAAAGTATCGGATGAAATAACTTACACTGAAGATACTGCTAATTCGCTTGCACTTCTGGGTAAGTCAAGGTTTCTTACACAGGGAATATACGATGGCAGGACCAATATGGGGAAATGAGTGTGCCTGCCTTCACTGTTTCCTTCACGGTATCCTCCACACCAAGGCTTGTCCCTTATTTTATACTTGAGAGTTAACATAGTGGGTGTACTCAGTGGTGATTCTGGAACTGTTTTCTTCTGAGGCTTTCAAGACTGGCTTTTACTTCTCTGTACATACTTGATTAGATGTATAATTTAGTTATGTGTTTGTTAACCTTTTTTTCTTAGTTCTTTGAGAGGTTCATACAGCATCCACCCTCGCCCAACTCTTCCTAGATCTAACCCCCAACTTTGTAGTGCACTCTTGCCCATCGAGGCCAGTTTGTGCTGCTCAAATCTTCTTGAACGTGTGCTCTTTCACTGGACCATGCACTCTTGGAGAAACCAGTCTCCTCTCTGCCAGCAGCATCAATGGCCAATAGCTCATAGCTGGGGTGTAATTTTATGCAATCTTCATTTAGTAATCACAAAAATGTTTTCACATTTGAGCTTTTATATTGAGTTGCTGAAACTGTTGAGTACTTCCTTGTTCACTGCATGCTCCAAACTTTTAAATAAAATCAAATGTGAAAAATGTTATAAAAGAGTATGTATTTATATCTAGGTTATTTTTTTACTTTTTGGAAGTAGGAAAATAATTCCTAAGAAATGAGATCATATGAAACACTTTCTGAAAATTGACCCCTGGGACATGATGATACATTTTCCAAACAAATACTATGTTAAATTTGCAGTTACTAATTTAAGTCTTTATTTGTAAAAGTGAAATAATAGGTAAATGATTGATAAACTTTTAAAACTATTTACCTAAGTTATTTTCCCAGTACTATACTCCATACAAAAAGTTTTTAGAGGGTCAACTAAAATGAACAAGAAGCATTTTTGTTTTTAACATTAAATATTACTTATAATTCTTTTATGTCTAAGTTTCATCATCTTCAACTGTAGTTACTCAGAATAAACTTCCTAAACTTAATCTCAAACAGTAGAGGAAAGTATCACAAAGACTAGATTAAACATGAGAATTAAAGAAAACTTTAAGATCAAACAGGCTCAGAAGAAGTGGGAGATTTCAATTCTGCCATGAGTAGAAAAGTTAAATAGGAAGCCATCCTAAAAAATGACATGCAGGCTGGAGAGGTGGCTCAGTGGTTAAGAGCACCGACTGCTCTTCCAGAGGTCCTGAGTTCAATTCCCAGCAACCACATGGTGGCTCACAACCATCTGTAATGAGATCTGGTGCCCTCTTCTGGCCTGCTGTCATACATGCTGTATACATAATAAATTATACATATATAAAGACATGCTAATATTAAAAAATATGAAGGTTTTGTTGGTAATATTATTTTAAATGTCTCTGTTGGCCCTACTCTAGAGTGCTGCCTCCTAGAGAATTGGCTGACATTTTTATACTACATGGCCTATCATCAGATTATTCTTTGCTTAGTGACAGCCTGCCAGTAAAAGTACATTATATTGCCACTGCAAACAATATGAGCTCTTAACTTCTCATTAATTCCCTCTGCTGATTGTGTAGTGCAAATACTACTCTGTCCCCTACCTTTTTAAATTGCTGGAAACATGAAGTAAATGAAAATACCCAATATGAAGAATTGAATAAATATATTCATGACCATTACTAATAACTCCCAGGTTCTACCATGTATTGGTCTGCCGGCAAATTGAGAGTAAAGCTAATATGGAGTTTTAAGGAAAGAATACATTATGAAACACAAGCTTCTGAATCTAGTTAGGAAGAATACTACCCTTTATGTTATCAACAGTTACCATCACATGTAGCACTTAACAATGTGCTAAACATTATTCTCAATCCTTGTCTCATGTGAAATCAGTCTTTACAGCATTCTTAAATGTAGTAACTGTTATGCCTGGTTTATGGATGAAAAAATCAAATACTAACTAGTTTACACACTTTTAGTATGTAGCAGAGCCAGACTTTATTCTTGGATGGTCTGGCTCCAGTATCTGTATTATTAGTATCATTCTCTTCTTTCTGGAAAGGACAGGCTGAAATGATTGAGATGGAAAATCATAAGGATAGATTCAAAGTGTTACACAGACACGTATGTATGTGTGCATGTATGTTCACTTAACTATTATGCACTATATCACTTCATTTCACCCAACAACAGAACATATATAAGATGGTGGTCCTATAAATCTACATTGGGCCAAAAAATTATATCACTTATTGATGGCATAATTTGCCATAGTGCCACTCATTATCCATATTTGTGGTGATAGTGATAGAACCCCCCCCCACATTGCCAGTTCTGTGAAAATAGAGCAGTCCAGTGGTATACAGTGCAGAACACTTGATAAGTGACGAGTGACTGTGTCCCTGGATTATGTATTCACTGTATTTTATCATTTAGATAAATGAATGTACTTTCTACTTAGTATTTTTGAATTAGCTGTCAAAGAGTATACTGTTTGCCAGCAGCAACCTCCTATATCTTCCATTCATTATGTACCTCAGTTGCTCTGTTCTCTTGTGCTTAATTTAATATCATGTTTGTGTAAGTATACAATGTGTTATTCATATAAAAATAGCACCTAACAAGGAATTTCCCAGAAAATACTCCCATATGAAGTGATGTGTGACTGCTCAACAGTATATGTATGCACACATACACATGATCACACAAGTAATTATAAGACTCAATATGAATTGCTAATGAGATTTTAAAATAACTTGTAATATCGGTATTCTATGCTTACATTTTTAAATAAGCTTATAACATGTTATCACAGTACTCTCCTTTATTCTTTTGGCAGGTGAATTAATGAAAATACCAAGTTCTAAGTTAAGGATACAAATTTGTAAGTGTATTATTGACTTCTATCATGCAGAACCACCAAAAAAGCATATTCCAGGTAAAGTTTTCATTTATCTTTCCATGATAACTTGTGTCTTTGGGAAACAAAAAATTCATCTTCTTGTATTTCACTAAACTTTGAAAACACAGGGCTCATGGATTCAACACATAAATATTTTTTGTGTAGCTTTGACTTCTTCAGTTATCTTTAAAAATTGTGTAAGTTTTTTTTTTTTTTTTTTTTTTTTTTTTTTTTTTTTTTTTTTTTTAGTTTGGGGCTATATACCAAATTTTTATCTTGATGGTAAATATTTATGGCCCAGTTGATAAAGGCATAGCCAATTAAGTTTGTTACTAGTAGTATTTCTTTTTTTGTTTGTTTTTGTTTTTTGTTTGTTTGTTTTTTTGAGACAGGGTTTCTCTATGTAGCTTTGGAGCCTATCCTGGAACTCACTGTGTAACCCAGGCTGGCCTCGAACTCACAGCGATCCACCTACCTGCCTCTGCCTCCTGAGTGCTGGGATTAAAGGCGTGCTCCACTACTACCCGGCTCTATTAGTAGTATTTCTTAGCAGTGAAAATAAAATTATTTTAATCATAATATCAATACATCTAAGTAGATGTTAAATTAGTAATACTGATGCCATTCTCTATTATGTTTAGGAAGAATTCTGTATATTATAGCTAGGAAATCTTAATACATACTGATGAGTAGATTATATCAAGCATTAGCATTGTGAGGCTATAATGTTATTTAAGACATACATCTTAACCTTTATTGATTATATAACTTGCAATCAATATAGTAAGGGAGAGAATAAATAAATGATATTTTGGAGTTACATAATTTTAAATAGATAAAAATAAGACTATGGTAGTCTAAGAATGTATGACTAAGGAGAACATGACAAGACATCTGAGGTAGTGAAATATATAAGGAGATTATTAAATATACAATGTGAAGTCTCAGGTAGACAGATTGGAGAATTTAGTGAATAGTAGACATTGAATTCTAAAATCTTCAGGGATCAGAAAAGCAGGCTTGGAATTCACTGAGTGGAAATGAAAATTGAAACCGTCAGTGATTGAATTAGTCAGGAAATAAATCGTGTAAACAGCAAGGGCCCAAGAAGAACACTATGAAGAGTGTTTATATTGAGAGTTGGAAAATATGATTGAAAGAATTAAGGGATGTTAAAAAGGGATCCAAAGAATAGAAATGTCCAAAAAGAGGAAGATTTTTGTCTGCCATTGCAGATCATCATTGAGAGCCCATGTGTGCGAGCCTGCTGAGACCATGGGCTGTCTCATTTCTGTTGCACTGTGACCTGACCAGGCAACAGGAGAGAACAGCCATGGAGAGAACCTGGGACACGAGAGAGCTGGAAAAAGGCAAAAAGGAGAAAGCCAGAACATCAGAGAGAAGTAGACAAACCTCAAGGGAGACTTAAAAAGCCAAGTGGCAGAGATATTATGAACATAAAACTATGCAACCAATGTGGAGAAATGTTGAGCCAGACTCTAGGTTATATTCTGAACAAGAAATTTCCTCCTGGTATAAACCATGAGAAAACTGTATTGTGGAGAAGTAGATATTGCCTTTCATTTCCAAATGTACCCTCCAATGCTCAGCCTGCTCACATACTAGACCAAATGAGTGTCAGGAAAGAAGAGAAGCCATATAAATAAATGTAAGGAACACGAAATTGCTAACATCCCCAGTGTTCTCCAAAACATTAAAGGGCACATAATGATGAGAACCCATATATAGATAAGCAGAGGGAAAGCTTATATGAGTCTGCCAGCCGTTCAGAGACACATGGTAACACACAGGGAAGAGAAACCATATAAATGTAAGGTGTGTAGTAAAGCTTTGGGTTGTTCCACTTCATTTCTAATACATGAGAGAAGTTGCTCTGGGAAGAAAGTCTGTGAGTGTAAGCAATGTGTAGGGGAAGCATGTGATTTATCTTGCTCTATTCAGAGACATGCATAAAATTATGCTGGAGAGAAACATTATGCATGTAAGCAATGTGAGACAATCTTTAGTCATCCATGTCCCCTTCAAATGTGTGAAAGAACACATTGGAGAGAAACCTTATGTTTGTAAGCATTGTGATAAAACACATTGTGATTGTTGCAATTGGTTTCAAATACATGAAAGAACTCACATTGGAGAAAAAAACGATATATGTAAGCAATGTGGCGAATCCCTGAGTGATTCAGGTCCCTTTGCATATGTGAAAAGATTCATAGAAGAAAGAATCCTGTCTTATTTAAGCACTGTGGTGAAACCTTCAGCTGCTCTACTTAACTAGTAGAGACATGCAGAAATTCAAAAAAGAGAAACTCAGTGTTGTAAGCAATGTGGGAAAGCCTTCATTTAACCCAGGAACTTTCAAAAGCACAAAAGAACTCACGCTGGAAAGGATCTCTGAGCAACAAGCATGGGAAGTGTTCATTATCACATGACTGACTTTCCAGGACCCAGGAGAATGTCAAATGCAGTGAACTTGTATTAATATAAGTTGTGTGGAACAACTCTAGTTATCTTGATTCAATTCATAGAACATACTATAGTGAGAAACCTTGAATAGAAGAAATATGCAAAGTGCTCATTGGAGCCATGTTCAAGAATGTGTTCCACATCATGTGGATGTGCAAAAATATTTTTAAAAGCTGTCAGTTGTCACAAGTAATGTCAAAGTCCAATGAGAATTTTTAGGGAAGAATAAGCCTATCAATACACCAGGAAGAACTTGAAGCAAATAATTGGTGTAACATCTTCTACAAAAATACTTATCCTGAAGGAAATATTCAAAGGTGAGAAATAATTTAATTTGTGTTTATCAGGGGAAGAACCCTAAAGACCACCATATGTATATTAATGAATGAAATGTTTAATGAAGAAAGGTGGTCTTGGTATCAGTACTGAAGAAATTTCTGTAATGATGGATGGAGAACCCAAGCTAGTGTCAACCTAGAAAGTTGTGGTTAATGTTTGAGATCTGTTGACAATGATGATCTTATAGCAATCTGAAAGGATGTGAGAACAGAAGCAGCCACTTGAGAAGGAAGCAGGGGCAGCTCATAAATACGAACTTGTATTTAGAACTGAAATGGTAAAGCAGACAAGAAGATGGGAGCAGCAGCTTAACCGGTAGCAAGATCACTGAATGGGTATTTGGGTTTTGTTACTAGCATTAGGATGTGGAAATAAAGCTTGTAGGCAGACTTCCCTAAGTGGCAGGTGGAAAAGCAAAATCCTCAAGGTAAACATGAGAAGTTGTAATTAAGAACACAACCTTAGACCTGATTCAGCAAAATAGAGACACCGCTTAGAGACAAGAAGAAAAGGCTGGCAAGACGGCTCGGCAGGGAAAGGCCGCTGCTGTCAAGGCTGGCAACTGAGTTCAGTTCCCAGGACCCGCGTAGTGGCGGGGAAGAACTGACTCCTGCAGGTCATCCTCTGACCTCTACACTCATGCCATAGCACAAGTGGACTGTGGCACACATTGCCACAAACATGCACCAAAAGAAATAGAATTAAAATAAAGTAAATGTCTTAAAACTTTATTTAAAGCCAGATATGGTTTTGAAATGGTAAAATTATAAGCAATTTTTATTCTCCTTTGTATTTTCATTTTTTTAAATTTTGTATGTGTGTGTGTGTGTGTGTGTGTGTGTGTTGTATGTGTATGCTATATGTATATGGTATATGCTCATGTATGTGTTTAGGTAGCTGAGGATGTTGAGCGTTCTGGCCTATCACTCCCTAATCCTTTGAGACCTGGTCTCTTACTAAACCTAGAGTTAAGCTGATGGCCAATAAGCCCCCGCAGCCTTACTGACTCTACCTCCAAGCCCTGGAGTCACGGGCAGCTGTGTAGCCATGTCATGCTTTTTTGTATTTGTGTTTGGATTTTTTTTTTTTGTATTTGTTGTTTTGTATTTGTTGTTAAGATTTGTTTGTTTTTGTTGTTGTTGTTGAGACACACTGCCACTATTTCTCCCTGGCTGGCCTGGTGCAGACCAGACTAGCAGAGAACTCACAGAGATCTGCTTGCCTCTGACTCCTGAGTGCTTAAATAAAAGGCATGTGCCACCATACCCAGGCCATGCCAAGCATTTTACCTTCTTGTTAAAGATTCAAACTCAAGTTCTCATGCTTGTTTTTTGTTTGCTTGTTTGTTTTGTTTTTTGGAGACAGGGTTTCTCTGTGTAGTTTTGGTGCCTGTCTTGATCTTGCTCTGTAGACCAGGCTGGCCTTGAACTCCCAGAGATCCATCCACCTGGCTCTGCCTCCCAAGTGCTGGGATTAAAGGCGTGCGCCACCACCGCCCGATGTTCTCATGTTTATAGAGCAAGTGCTCTTTCTTACCTGGTGAGCGATCTCTCCAGCCCTCTTTGTGTTTGTAGTGTCCTTTTAAACTTTCACAGTGAGTATAGAGCATACCCCCAGACAACCCATCTCAGGAATGGACAGGGCCTTGTGTATGACCCAGAGACCAAACTCAGAAAGTTAAAACAAACTGACAGACATCTCAGAACTACGTTATGGTTAAAGAGAATCTAGTTGGTTTCAAAAGTCAAGATGTCAGGGAGTTTATATGTGAGATCACTGAGAAAAAACAGCTTCACCTTACTGTGGTGTTTATTTAATCCCGTGGCTACAAATAGTGAGGCAGGTACCTGTGCAACCAGCAAAAGGGGCAGTGTGCCTCATAGGGCCTGCAGCAGGATGGAAGTTTCTAAGGCATGCTGTTCGCTGCTCTAAAATACCCCGAATTCACAGTCGTTTACTTCTCTCCTCCCCTTTGCTGCTGATGTGATGTAATTCTTGTCCCTTGAAAGAGCTGAAGCAGTACATTGTCACATGGAGCAAAAATGTAAAGGATTTGTTACCTTGTTATTTGACTTTAGGGAAAGTTACTACTTACTGGCTGGTACTTGGTGTTTTTTGTTGTTGTTTGTTTGTTTATTTTTAGAATTTAAGATGTGTTTCCAAAATCTGTGGGTGTATTTCAAGGCCAAAAGACTATGGGCCCCTTGGGGAAAAACTGGATAACTGTAAATTTAATGTTATTGAATACAACCATGCCCATTTTTTTCATCTTATTTATGGCTTTCTTCAAGGCTATGATAGCATGCTACAATATCTTGAGCTAGATAGTCGAGACACAGAATGTAATAACCTGCAAAGATATACTGTCTGGCCATTTATAGAAAACTTTGCCCATCCTTCTACTGTACAAGTTGTAAATGCCATGTGTTCTTTAAAAAAGTTTTTGAGCACCAGGAGGTGGTAGTGCATGCCTTTAATCCCAGCACTCAGGAGGCAGAGCCAGGCAGATCTCTGTGAGTTCAAGGCCAGCCTGATCTACAGTGTAAGGTCCAGGACAGGCACCAAAACTACACAGAGAAACCCTGTCTCGAAAAAAACAACAACAACAACAACAACAACAACAACAACAACAAAAGTTTTTATATTGTTTTTGTTCTCAAATGATCCTTATGTGAAATAATTGTCCCTGTTATGGCTTTAGGCTACCAGCAGGTTAGCTCATCATACAAGATTAAGATGGCTGAAGTCGGAGGATTGGCAAAAGCCATGGTCCAGTCCGTGCTCCTACTTGAAAACCAGCTTGTTGAGAAACTTTGGGTTCTTAAAGTTCTGCAGCACCTCTCGACTTCCGGTGTGTATAGTACTGTTGAATTTCAACATTTCATTGTTCACTCCTTTTCTTCCTCTCTAACAGACTAGTTTGTTAAATTTACTTTTCAGAAGTCAATTGCACCTTAATGGTGAAAGGTCAAGCAGCCAGCAGAATCTGTGCTCGCCTCAATGACCCAGATCCCTCAGGACAGCTTCTGTTTCGTTCATCAGAAATACTTTGGAATTTATTGGAGCGATCTTCAAAAGAGGAAATTATACAACAGCTCAGTAACTTGGAATGCCTGCTGTAAGTGTATGTGGGTAGATAGGAATGCCATTTGCCTTGACCCGTGGTCAGTGATAGATAACTAACCACTTTGAATCTGTGTCCAATTGAATTTTTGATTCATCTGATGACTGGGCTTCATGCCATTAGAAATAAAAGAAGTTACACTTTTTGTTCTTTTGTGAGTTCTGAGATAGGTCTCGTGTAGTAAGGCTAGCCTGGAACTTGCAATGTAGTTGAGTGAGGATGGTCTCCTTCCTCTTCTTCCCCAGTACTGGAATTGCCAGAGAAGCCATGCTTGTCTAGTAGGATGCTCTAAAAGTATCATACTATATAGTTAAATTGTGCCTTTACAGATGGCTAAAGTGAAATTAGACTTTTATAACTATTTATTCATTAGATTTCTGATTAGTATTTTCTACCTTTTCAGTTATGTAATTGTCAAAAAAATGTAAGTTTTCAAGTTGCTTACTCAATTGTTCAATAAATAATTGTTGTCTGTTGTGCTACGGTCAGTCTGAGATGATAAAAATGTAACTAAAAGCTTGGTGTGCTAACAACACCCTTTAATCCCAGGGCTTGGGAGGCGGAGGAAGACAGAGCTCTGTGAGTTCAAGAGTGAGCTCCAGGATAAACAGAGCTACATAGTAAGACCCTATTTCAAAAACTAAAATAAAATAGAGTTGAAGAGATGTCTCAGCAGTTAAGTTTTTGCAGAGGATGCAGATTGATTCCGAGCACCCACGTGGCCGCTCCTAACCACTCATAACTCCAGTTCTAGGGGATCCAATGCCCTCTTGTGACCTCCATGGGTACCACACATGCATGTGGGGCGTGGACATACCTGAGAGCAAAACACTCATATATATAACAAATTAAAATAATTTACTTACTTATTTATTTGCTTTTACATCCCAAACACTAAAATAAAATTTGAATCAAAAACTAAACAATAACATTTCATGGACCTTCTCTTATATTTACAAAGAAAAACAAGTACATAAGTAATTAAGAAGGTATAATAAGTGTAATGGCAGAGATTTTTGCAAGACATTGCATCTTTTTTCAAAATAAGATAGATGAACATGTTTTTGCTTTCAAGTGACCCCCAAACCCAACCCTACTGTCTTAGTTAGCTTTCACTGTTAACTTGGCGCAGTCAGTAATTACTGAGAAGGGAGTCCCCACTGAGGGACTGGTCAGGTCAGATTGGCCTGTGTGTCTGTGGATGTCTTTACTGTAACTGGTCTAAGATGGCCCCGCCCCCTGCGGGCAGCACCGTTTCCTGAACAGTGGTTCCAGACTATACAAGACAGCGAGTTAAGCGTGAGCCCATGAGTGAGCCCACCAGCACTGTCCTCCATGTTTTTACCATCAGGCTTCTGCTTGAGTTCTTGCCATGACTTCCCCTCTGATGAACTGTGACCTGAAAGTATAAGCTAAATAGATCATTCCTTCTCTAAGTTGCTTTTGGGCAGTGATTTTTTGTTTTGTTTTGTTTTTAAGACAGGGCTTCTCTGTGTAGCTTTTCGCCTTTCCTGGAACTCACCCTGCAGCCCAGGCTGGCCTTGAACTCACTGAGATCCGCCTGCCTCTGCCTCACGAGTGCTGGGACTGAAGGCGTGCGCACTACCACAGGCTGGCTTGGTCAGTGTTTTATCACAACAGAAAAGAAACTAGAATTCCGACTGATGAGAGTGCAACTAAAAAAAAACAAAAACAAAAAAACAAAAAGCTGGTTTCGTGAGCCTCTTTATTGAAATTTCAGAAAATGTGGAGGCTGGGCACCTCTCTATTTCTTCAGGTCGTCTTCACTCTTCTGGCTGTATCCTGATCGAACAGCGGTTCTCAACCTGCGGGTCGCAACCCTAAAACAACCTTTTCACAGGTTTTGCATGTCTGATATTTACATTATGATTCATAACAGTAGCAAAATTACAGTTATGAAGTATCAGTGAAAATAATGTTGTGGTCGGGGGTCAGCACCACATGAGGAACTGTGTATGAAAGGGTCTCAGCAGTGGGAAGGCGGAGAACCACTGCTGTAGAACCACAGGCTGGGGAGAGCAGATGCCTAAATAAAGAAATACAGGTAGTGTTGCTACACAGAGAACTGCAGACGGCCCCAAGAGGCAAAAACAATGACTGTCTCCTGCAGAAGGAACCTGACCTGGAGCGGAGGAGATGGTTTATGCTTCCTCATACTCCTTAACCTCAGCAGTGTCTCGGGGATTAGGAATCAGTCACACAGAACAGCCTCTTGCAGAGAGCATCCTACACAGGAAAAGAGAAGTAAAAATCAGATTCAGAAAAAAATGAAAAGTAAAAACCCGAAAGAAGCTTAGTATGAGGAAGGCAGAAGAGCAAGGCAGGCTGTTAAGAGCCGAGACTACAGGGAGAGCAAGAACCGTGATGGCAGAGCCCTGGGGAGCTGGCTAAGGAAGACTTTGTTCTAAGAATAAAGAGCAGCTTTGAGTGGCTTTAACATGCCATGATTAAGTCTTCTAACAGTCACATTGGCAACTGTGGGTACTTCGATTAGTGAGTTCTTATCTGGTGCGTTGCCGTGAATTCGAAGCAGGTTTGGAAGGATCAAAAGATGAGAAACACCGGGTCAGTAGTCTAAAATTAAGAGTAGGATATTGTTGATGGAGACATAAGTATTTCCATAGAAATGTGTCTCAGTTCAGCCTTCCTTAACAAAGTCCCAGAGAGCTGTAGTTGAGAAACAACGGTAACTTTTTTCTCACAGTGTTAGAGGTTAGAAATCAACATGTGCCAGCATGGCAGGTTCTGGAACACATGCTCTTCTAGATATCAGGACTCCGACATCTCATTTCACAGGGAATGATGTAGCATGAATCTTAGAAGTTCTTATTAATAAAATCAAACCTGAGGCCAGTTATTGGGGTGAACAATGGAAAATCAGAGAGCCAGAACAAGCCACAGCTACCTCACCTCGCCAGATCCTCAGCTGGTCTTGTTTCCTCAGACTGGAGGCTTCTGAGTCCTCATCACAGCTGAATTGCTGGTCAAAAGCCTGAATGCTTAACCAGCCAAATGCTTAACCAGCCAAATGCTTCTAGTTTCTGGTCCTCATGCCTTATATACCTTTCTGCTTTCTACCACCACTCCCTGGGATTAAAGGCTGGCTTTCTGGGATTAAAGGCGTGATGAGTCACCATGCCTGTCTGTATCCTTGAACACAAGGATTTCTGCCTCTGGAATGCTAGGATTAAAGGTGTGTGCTACCACTGCCTACCCTTTATGTTTAATATTGTGGCTGCTCTATCTCTGACCCCAGATAAGTTTATTAGCATGCACAATATTTGAGGGAATACATACCACATTTCCTCTCTTTTAGTCTAAAATTTAAAAAAGCTTATAACTAATACAAGAAAAATTATATCCAGTAAGTATATACAATATACACAGTCAAGATTACATTAACGATGTCTAGTCCATTAACATTTGACAGATTCAGATAAAAACTCCATTATAATATATATATATATTAACAATGTCCAGTCCAGTAACATCTGATAAACTCGGACCAAAAAATTTTCATTACTTATCTTATTTAAAACAAGTAGTTCCTTTTTAAAAGTAGATTCCATAATCTCCCATTTTATCTTATCATATCCAGAATGAGATCAGCAGTAGAGCTCTCTGAGGTTCCTGTTGTGAGGACAGTGATTCCTTTATGATGGCTCTACCTTTATGTCTAAATGTCTTCCCAAAACTTCTGACAAGGGAGGATTTCAACAAATGAATTTTGAAGAAGCACAAACATTTTGCCTACAATAATATCATTTTTAATATTTTGTTTTCTAGGGCCTTGAAGGAAATATTTAAAAATCTGTTTATGAGGGGCCATAGTCATTATGACCGTCAGCTTAGAAATGATATATTAGTTATCACCACAATTATAGCTCAGAACCCTGGAGCACCAATGATTGTAAGTATGCATCAGATGGCGTTCATTTTAATGGTGAAAGTGGCGGGAGTATTCTAAACTATGTTACAGTATTTGTGTGTTTAATTGTGTGCTAAGTTGTATCTGGATGCCAAGATAGTCACTGCACTGCCACTCTGCCACTCTGTGGCATTCCTGTGGAGCTCTGGCATCCTCTTCATGTTTTGCCACCTACAGATTCATTATTTCTGGTGTTTTTCTTTTTTCTTTTTTTCTCCTGTCCATCTAACTTCATTTCTTTTCCAATAAAAGAACTTTGTTTATCATTTCATGTGGTACAAATGTGCTACCTGCTCTCAACAAAGTCTATTTTATCTCAAACTATCACCTTAATTATTGAATTATGTTCATTGAATGTAGAATCCTAGGTTGAAATAAATTCTCTACTAGCACTTTGAAGATAGTGTTCCACTGGTTTCTTCTCTCTGCTGTTCCTGGTATTTGTTATTTCAAATTCTTGCTCCCTGATATTGAAAAGTGTTCTTTAAATTCTGTTTTCAAGACTTTCCCTTTTATCATTGGTGTTCATCAGTTTTAGTACAGTGGGCCAAGGAGTAATCCCTTTTGTATTTATCCTTTATAGTGTTTCTTACACATGTAATTTTTTTTCACTAAATTTGAACAAATTAGGACCATTATTTTCATCATTGGTTTTTAGTTTATTCTCTCTCCTGTTTTCTTATAGCATTCTGATTACTTGTACATTTGATAATTTTTTACATTGTCTCATATGGTTATAGGCTTCTGGTGACTGTTTTGAATATTTTTTCTCTCTAGTCCTCAGATTGGATGATTGGATTGGTCTATATATTTAAATTAACTGACTTTCCCTGTCGCATCCATCATGCTGTCCATCCTTTCTAGCATGTTTTTATTTCAGATATTAGAATTTCTTTTTTTTTTTTTCTCCAGGTCTGGAGATCAAGCCCAGGGCTTTCTTCATAACAGACAAGGGTTCTGCCACTGAACTCTATCCTCGTCCTCTTTGACCCCTTTTTACAATTTCTCCTTCTGTGCAGAGCTCCTGTGTTCCCATTCATTATGAGTATCTTTACTGTGGGCTCCACCATAGGCCTCTGAAAAGTACTTTTTCAGTTTTGTTATTTGTAGACATTGGACTTGTCTGCATTCATGCAACTATGTGGTCCAACTATGATGCCTCCAAGTGGGATCCATCAAATTCCAGTTTGGCTCTTGTGGGCATAACTATGATGTGTAGAATTCTCAGTATTTGGTCAGGTCAGGCAGTAGTCAGAGCCTGGGGAAGCGTTTGTATGCATATTTGAGTTCCCCTTCTGGCTTTCTCCTTTATGAGACTGGACCTTTCATTCTAGTGGCTGTGGTTGCCTCAGTCTTCTGATTCATTGGCCCATTCAGACAACAAACAGGTTTACCTTTGAGTTTAGCATACACACAAGGTGTAGAACAGGGATTGCTGCCAGGTTTAAGGCCATTATTAAAAGGAGGTGTTATGACAATTTACATAGTCAATTCTTCTTTAGTCTTTATCAGAGTTCTAACTTTCTTCCAGTGTCTACTTTCTCTTGGCCACAAGATTGCTGCTTTTTATATTTTGCTCAAAGAAGATTTCTTTTATCAAAACTACCTAGCCATATGAGAAGCTAATCCTTCCTGTATTTAAAAATATTTATTTTAATATTTTTAATTATGTGTATGTGTGTCTGCGTGAGTGTGGGTTTTTCTCTGTGAGTGTAGATGCCCTCAGAGGCAGGAGGGAGTTGGGACACCTGGAGGTGGAGTAACAGGTGGTTGTGAGCCACCTAAAGGGGTTCTGGAAACTGAAGTTGGGTTGTCTTGTAAGAGCAGTATGTGCTCTTAACCCCTCAGAAATCTTTCCAGTCCCTCCCTGTACTTTATAGTGAACAAGTCATTGAGTGATTGAGATCTTAGAATAGAGAGATCTTACAATAATATTCACACATCAGCCATATTACTTTCTACATTGGGTTTCAAAGGACTAGCTATAAAGGTCCCAATACCTGTCAGTGTACATCAAGTGGCCCAACATTTAAAACGTCATGGAATTCATAGTGTGAAAATGTATAAATCATCCAACAGAGCACCTAGTCTAAGTCTACCATATGCAGGTAGATCTTTGTCTGTCTGTCTGTCAGTGAGTTCTCAGTTCTGCCACTGTAAATGTTCTGGTGATTCCTTGAACAGAAATAAAAGCAGAAATAAAAGTGATAACATTCTTATATTTTAAAGAAGCCATGTGAATCCTGAAGAAGTAGAAAAATTGTACCATAAATGCAAAACCCATTATTATTTCCCCCTATAAAATTTCCTTACTATACAAAGTTCAATTGCATGTCTTTGTCAGGAGTGAGTTCCTTGTGCTGAGGTATTTGCAGCTCTGATAATTCCTCAGGGTTTTTTGTGTTAAGAAGCACTGTTTTCATTCATCATGGTATCTCCCTCTCTGTTCTCCCACTCTGCTCCTGATCCAGCTGGGACCTCCCTCTCCCCTAAGCTCTCTTTCCCCCTAACCCTTGCCCTACATTACCCCCACCCACAGTTTGCTCATGTAGATTTCATCCATTTCTCAGTCATTGAGCGATCCCTGTGTCTTTCTTAGGGTCCTCTTTACTAGGTAGCCTCCCTGGAGCTGTGAGTTGCAGTATGGTTATCCTTTGCTTTACATCTAGTATCCACCTATGAGTGAGTACATACCATGTTTGTCTCTCTGAGTCAGGGCTACCTCACCCAGGATGATTTTTTCTAGTTCCATCCATTTGCCTGCAAACCTCATGATGTCATTGTTTTTCTCTGCTGAGTAGTACTCCATTGTGTATATGTACCACATTTTGTTTATCCATTCTTCAGTTGAAGGGCATCTAGGTCATTTCCAGGTTCTGGCTATTACAAATAATGCTGCTATGAACATAGTTGAGCATGTGTCCTTGTGGTATGATTGAGCATTCCTTGAGTGTATGCCCAAGAGTGGAATAGCTGGGTCTTGAGGGAGATTGATTCCCAATTTTCTAAGAAAGGGCCATATTGATGGGGAATAGGAAGAAGCAGAGTGCTAGGGAGGTCCCCAGAAATCCACAAAGATACCTCCACTGTAGACTACTGGCAATGGGCACGAGAGAGGAGAGATTGTATGAGTGAGAGATATCGAGACCATGATTGGAAAAAGCACAGGGACAAATAGCCAAACTAGTGGAAATGCATGAACTGTGAACCAGTGGCAGAGGAGCCCCCATGGAACTGGACCAGGCCCTCTGAATAAGTGAGACAGTTGATTAGCTTGAACTGTTTGGGAGGCCCCCAGGCAGTGGAGCTGGGACCTGTCCTTGGTTCAGGGGCTGGCTTTTTGGAGCCTGGGGCCTATGCTGGGACACTTTGCTCAGCCTTGGTGTAGGAAGGAAGGGAATGGACCTATCTTGGCTGAGTCTACCAGGCTGGGCTGACTCCCCAGGGAAGACCTTGCCTTGGAGGAGGTGGGAATGGGGGATGGATTAGGGGGGAGGGCAGGAAGGTGGGAGGAGGGAGGATGGGGGAATCCGTGGCTGATATGTGAAATTAAGCTAATTATAAAATACAAATACTATTTTTTTTAAAAAAAGAAGCACTGTTTTGTTCTCTCCTGGCTGTCCTTTGATGTAATGAAAGTGACTGGGATAAAGGCAGGATCGAAAAGAATAACCATTGAGAAGAATTGGACTTTCCTCCTTTGTGGTATCATTTAAAGGTGTAGACAATGAATCACAGAAGTAACCAGGCAGGCTCTATGTGCTGACTTCTCACTCACTTTCAAATATCACATCGCATCTATATTCATGGACTAATATGAAACTTCTTAGAAGTTGCAGAAGCAAGTTTAAATTGAGTAAATTAGAATTACCTAGCCATGTGGTGTTGCTTTTTCACTTTGATTCATTAGTACTAGTATTATAAATTCAAATGAATTACGGTAGGGAAATTACATAGTAGCAGTTGAATAGGAGGCAGATATGGGCACCTGTATCTTAATTGCCGGTCTGATTGTTCGCCTCTCTGCTTTCTTATTTTGTGTTTGTAATAGGAATGTGGCTTTACCAGAGATTTGATCCTGTTTGCAACTTTTAATGAAGGTAAAAATTGCAACACTTAAGCATTTTGTAAGTGTCTTGATGAGTCTTACATATAATTTTAGCTTTTATTTCTCTCTCTTTTTTTCCTCTTACAGTTAAAAGTCAAAATCCTTTGGTAAAAAATCTTAAGCTTTCTAATTCCTATGAAGATTTTGAGTTGAAGAAATTGCTATTCAATATAATTGTGATCTTATGTAAAGATTTAACTACTGTGCAGGTAAAGACTAATCAAAACAGAAAAATTAATAAAAGCATCTCACTTTATAGCATAGTTTTTTAAAGTCACGATTGCAAATCTTTCATTAACCAACCCATATCTATATCATAGAAAGTAGCAAAGTTATCAGCTTGGTTAGTAGCCATTTGGATTGCAAACAATAAACACAAAGGACCTAACTTTGAACCAGACACACACACACACACACACACACACACACACACACACACACACACACACACGCAAGTAGGAGCTAAGAGATCTATCAATATATGCAGATCTCCTAACTAAGAACACAAAACAAAAGTAGCTCACACATCCCAGACCATGCCATCTATTTTTCAGTTGCTCATGCAAGGAAAACACTCTTCCATTAAATCACAGACACAGCCCCCACATCCAGCAGATTGGGTTCCTGACTGTCAAGCTAAGGGATGATTAATGGTGAAGGTAATTGCTGACTCTGTTAGGCCGTCTCAGACGCTTATGAACCCATGTTTTCTCCACTCAAGCCTAACATCTTTAATTTTTATTTCCTCATTTATCTTGCTGTGTTCATTATTTCACATATGTGATGTAATTTGAGGAACACTGGGATTAAATGGTTTGTCACTTTTTGGGTGACCTTGGCCAGTTCCCCTTCCCCACCTGGGGCTTAGTTCTACTTTATGAAGCTCAGAAAATTTGCACACAGGACTTGTAAGAGCTTGAGGTGAAGCCTTGGTCAATTGTAAAGTGTTTGAGAAATGTATTACTGTTTTGTTAGTTCAGCTCCTTACTGCATTAAATGACATTTCCTTCTAACCTGAAAATCCCTGAAGCTCTTTTCATGAACGAAGTGAGTGTTCACTTTATCAAGATAAGGACTGATGATATAAAAGTGGGGTGAGGTGGTGAGTGGGTACCGTCTCAGTAAGGTCACTTTCTAAGATTATACTTTTGAGTGGAATAATTAGTTTCTCTAAATCCCAGGTAGTTCATCTTTAGCAGAGGGGCAACACCCACCTTGGGGATTATTCTGAGACTTCATTTTTCTAATTGTTGTCGATGTTAGACTATGAGAATTTAAATGGGCCTGGCATTTTCTTGAGAATATCAACATATATTATATATAGCAAAATCAGAGAAAGATACATTGCATTTAAATTATAATTTTATAATTTGTATCAAATATATAATGTATACAGCTTATATATTTTTTCTGAAATGCTTACCAGAAAAATACTTCCATAAAATTTGTTTTATTATTATTATTATTATTATTATTATTATTATTATTATTATTATTACAGTGGAGAATTATCTATGTCTTATAAGTATAAATTCAACAATTGAGTTTTATTCTACATTTTGTCAGTTTCCACTGGTTGAGTATTTTATGGACAACAGAGTCAAATAGCACAAAGGTTGTCATAAGGTTTTTAAAATACATTGTGAGCAACAATGGAGTTAATTTTTGAGGTTACATGTCTTTGACCCAACAATAGTAGGACTAATCAATATGTACACTATCATAATTCATGGAGTATTTCAAACCTTCTCCACTGGATCTCCACAGTGATGCTAGAACTAATATTCTTGTTCATATTTACTCAACTCCAAATCATGATCTCTTTGAATATACACCATGAAGTACCACACTAAGTGAATTCAGTAAAGAAGCTAAAAAAAACCCTCGTAATCATTAGGAACCCTCTTTATAGAGTAATGCTAATCAAGTAGAAGGCAGTATCACATAGGACAGTGTTTCACACTCTTGTGAACTGAAATGCATCAGCTAGTATCAGCTGTGTTAACCATTGGCTATTTTATAATTATTCAGTTTTTACTTTTTATTGAAATGCTAGGTTCAATAAAGTTATAAAATCTTAAAGAGTCTAATTAAATACAGCATGTGACCTGACTGGCAGTCTTTGATACAGTGTATAAATTCTATCAGTTGTACCTAAGAAACAGTTTGTATTGCCCTGTTATTGCCTTTATGCTCGCTCCTGTGAGGGCTAGAGGTGCAGCTTAGCAGTAGGCTGGCTGGCTGACAAGTAGGCCCAAGGCCCTGGGTCTGGTCGCTAGCACTGTAACAGAAGGAAGATGAAGAATGGGGGAAGAAATGCCGCTCATTTATTTGCCTCCGATTTCCTACTTATGGTTTTATTGCATGTAGAAACAAATTGCATTTTCCGTTATTGTCACCTCTGGAGCTTGTGCCCAGGAAAGAGGATCAGTGCTCTTCCTGTCGCCAGGCTGCTGTTGATGGGGGTGGTATGTTATCTGTTTTATTTCCATGTGTTTGGGGTACTGTCACAGATAACGGAAATACTTTGATACTATCACTAAAACATCAAATTTTGCTAGATTAAGTAAAGATATTTTAATTATGCTGCTAACAAAGTCCATTTGTCCTTTCTTACAGCTATTAATCGATGGTAATGTTATTTTGGCTTTGTTTACCTATGTCAAAAAGCCTGAGAAACTCAAGATTGTCGAGTGGTCTGCTGCACAGTATGAAGAACTGCAACTGCATGCGATTGCCACCTTGTCTTCAGTGGCTCCGTTGCTAATAGAGGAATATATGGCATGCCAGGGCAACGCTCGGATCCTTGCCTTTTTGGAATGGTGTGAGCACGAAGGTGAGTGCCCTGCAGGGCCCTGTCAAGACTCGAATCTGTATGTCAACTGAACTCTCAGTATCTGCATAGAAAAGCAATTGCTAAATTGAAGAAAAGACAAATATTGAATCCATTCTTTTAGTGTTTTTATATGTCTTCATAAACATTGAAGTTTTAGGGATAGAGAGCTGGCTCAGCAGTTAATATCACAGACTGTTCTTACAGAAGACCTGAGTTGAGCTCCAAACACCTACACCAGGGAGCTCACAAATGCCTTTAACTCCAGCTCCAGAGGATTCAGTGGCCTCTACAGGCACCTGAATTCATGTGCACATGCCCCCACATAGGCACACACATTTACACATAATTAAAGATAGAACACGTCCTTTAAAAACACTGAGATTTCTTTATAATTAATAAACACTTAAAAATAATCATATATATATGATTTTATTTAAATTATTGTATTATGAGGCCTATAAAAATTATACTTAGGGAGGAAATAAAATAATCTAGACAATAGTTTAATATATTCATCCAACAAACATTGATTGAGTGTCTACCAAGTACCAGATACTACTTCAGCTCCTGAAAATACATTTAGGCTTCAATTGGACACAAATCCTTAAATAACTTCATAAAATTTAAAAATGTAGATTTTTATTTTTATCCAGAAGCACTATCTCCAAGCTATAGCTTATCAAAGAGAAGAGCCTCAATTAATAAATGTTATTTTATTGAATTCTTAAAAAGAAAATAAATAGACTCATGAACATAAAAATTTGATAAGGAAGAATGTTGTAAAAGACACAGTGATACCTTTGGGTAAAATTTGAAAAGGCATATTTCCATTCTGAGACTAGAAAGAGAAGGGGAAGGGATAATATTTCTGTAAGAAAAGAACAAACAAACATGACTGAATTTTAGCATCTGTCCAAATGTATATATATTTAAAATACCTGATGTGTTGTTTTTTAAAACAAGAACATTTAGTTGAACTGTTTATGCTTTAGTTTCTTCATTATAAATTCAATTATTTATTTCCCCACAGATTCCTTCTTCATTCACGGTAACAGTTTTCATGGCACAGGTGGCCGTGGGAACAAGTTTGCACAGATGCGTTATACTTTACGACTCCTCAGAGCCATGGTTTATCTGGAAGACGAGACTGTGAACACGGATCTTTGTGAAAGGGGGATTATTCGCCAACTGATAGGTAAAATACTGCACGGCAGCTCACAGGTGAAAGGAGGGTGTTTATAATCCTAAAAGTTTCATATGAAATATTTTTCTGCAAATTGATTTTATGAATGAGCATATCCTGAATGTTTTCCTGGTTTTTGTTTTCATCTGGTTGATGCCAATCAGCTCTCTTTTTATTGAAATATTGTAGTCAATAATCCTTTAAATACTTATTTCCTCGGTTTAGAAATTATTTTATTAACAATTTCTTTTTCACTGAGATGAACTATTGTTAGGTTTCACTTTTCTGTTGATGAGCTTGCCACTTCTGGCCAAGCATCGCTGAGCCATTTTCAAAGAAGATGAAGTTACATTTCCAGTCCATTCAGAACACTGGCACGTTGGTACATAGAGACTCTTATCTTTTCTTTTTTTTTTTTTTTTTTTTTTTTTTTTTTTTTTTTTTTTTTTTTTTGGTTTTTTCGAGACAGGGTTTCTCTGTGTAGCTTTGCGCCTTTCCTGGAACTCGCTTTGGAGACCAGGCTGGCCTCGAACTCACAGAGATCCGCCTGCCTCTGCCTCCCGAGTGCTGGGATTAAAGGCGTGCGCCACCACCGCCCGGCTTGAGACTCTTATCTTTTCTAACATAAATACTAAAGAATTTATGAATTTCAACTTCCAGTTCAAGCTGCTTTGCCCCTTATTATTTGAAAATACATGGTCACCCAGCCCCTCCCCCCTTTCCTGGTTTTGCTTCTCAGGCTGTCTCGGGCATTGCTTCATGTAAATGTCACATAGTTAGCTTTCTGTAGCCTAGCTTTCTAGATCCACATACTCAACCAACCATAGGCCAAAATTACAAAAAAGAAAGAATAAGTGTGTCTTTGGGCACAGAAAGACTTTTCTCGTTATTTATAACAAATATTAGCATTTCCACTGTATTAGGAATTATAAGTGATCGGAGGTGGTTTAAAGTACACAAGAATAAACCACATCATGTGCAGATGCTATACCAGTTTGTGTTAGGGAACTAGGCTTCCCTGGCTTTAGGTGTCCCAGGAGCATTTGCACTCTGATCTTGTTAGCTGTCTGTCACTGTGACAGACACCTGGAAGAAACCATTTGGCTCATGGTTTCACAGGTCTCCATCTGTGGTAATTTGGCTTAATGTTTTGGAGCCTGTGGTAAAACATTATGTCTTGGTGGCTTAGAAGTCAAAGAGAAACAGGAAGAGACCAGGTTCCCATCATCCTCTCTTCCAGAAGGCCCTGTCACCTAAACCTTACACCACTTCCCAACACATGGGCCTTTGAGGGCCATTCAAGATTTAAAGTGAAACACTGCTAGATGCCAGCTAATTGTGATGTGCTTAAAAAAAACAAAAACACTTATTAAAACTTTTCATTCATTATTAGAAGAAGGATAGTGCCCTCCAATTATAATACATAACACATACAAGCCTGGCCTTACACTCATAGCGATCCACCTGAATTCTTGGATTAAACCCTGCCGAATTTAAAAACAAATCCATTGAAAGCAGAGTTATGTAAAAACATTTATCTTTATTCCAAATGGGCTTAAGATGACTCAACATGAAAGTACATTTTAATCACAACTATGTGCATTCCATTGCACAAAATTCAGTCCAAATGCCCCGTGTTAGCTGGAAATGCAATCGTTGTATATCCAGGGAGAAATCTTAATCCTGGCTGAGCTGAGGGAATGTGTTAGGGGAAGCATAGCAAACAGCAAGAGTTCTCTCAGGACATTTTTCTTCCCATTCAAAGCTGATCTTCGTTACAGAATTTCTAGGGACCTTGTCTTTATTTAACCTAGCAGAGCTTTGTAGAAGTTCCATCCTCAAAAAGTATAGAAAATGCATTGCAAATACAGTGTCTGTGTAAATAGGCTTTCTCCTTAAACAGGGAGATTAAAAACTGTATCAGTCAGAATGCTAGGGAACCTTGCCCTGATGAGAACAAAGGAAAATAGTGTGTCTTATTTTGTACCCTCAGCTGGGCACCTAATGAGTAGCAAAAAAGAGTAAATATTCTGAAAGCTAAAGAACCTTAGGTATTTTTAAACTTGGGTGGTCTCAGCTGGGGCTTCAGTGGGTGATAGTTTTAAGAAAGGGGGAAAAAGATCCTTCTCTAAAGCCAACAGGTGTCGTGAGCAGAGGTAGAGTATTGAAATATGCAGGATAATGTGTTCAGAGAGGGCAGAGATGGAGTCCAAGTTCTATAAAGACAAATGTGATAGAGGTCATTGCATAAGCAGTGACCAAGTTGGAAAAAGCAGAGTGGTAAATAATAGTTTGAATTCCATCCTTCACCGGGTGCAGAAGGGTTCTGTTTAGTAAGTCTGTATGTGCAGTAATGTGGGCTTTTTAATTTTAATATAATTAAATTTTGTGTGTATGTGTATGTATGAATGCATGGTGTGTGTATGCGTGTGTGTGTGTGTGTGTGTGTGTGTGTGTGTGTGTGTGTGACTATGCCACGATGCACATGTGGAAATCATGGGACATCTCTGTGGAGTTACTTCTGTCCTTCATCACTTTGTATAGGTTTCTGGGATCAAACACAAGTTACCAGGCTTGTATAATCTCCCTGGCCCTAATTCCGTGTTTTAGAAAGAATGGAAGAGAGAAGGTAAAGGCAGAGAGTTCACGGTACCTAAAAATGAAGAAAATAATTCTTTATTAGCATCCTGTGTGCTCCAGATCACAGGTCCATAAATACCCAGATAAGGAATTAAGATAAGGTAATCTAGAAAACAGAACTGCAGCAGCTGTCACGGGATTTCTGTAGGTAGCTCTGATAAAGGAACACAGACCCCTACATGTAGCTTGAGTTTTCCTGCCTTGCCCACAGTCAGGACAAATCTCTGTC